GATTTTTATGGTACCTGCAAATTTCAAAATTTGTATAGCGTATCTATTTTCTTTTAGTTTGATATCGACGTCTTAAATATAGTAGGGGAGCCCTAGAGGGGATTTCGGGATTTACTTAAGCGAGTTAGATTAAGATGGAGGAATACCTTACACCCAGTTGAGTACGTCCACCATTCATGAGCTCTACACATAGGGGGGAACGTCTAGGGCAGCCGATCAGGTTAGTTGAAAAAAACGGTGTCCAGAAATACTCTAGCATGTAAGATTAAGATAAGTTGAAGTTCAATTACATACACATTAGTGTGTATTTTAAAAAATCTGACGATTTGAGTGTGACATAAAGCAGTGGAAGGGTTACAAATTTCAAAAAAAAAACCCATGAACTTGACATTATATGTTTATTTTGAATTAAACAATGCAAGAAATCTTCTTTAAATGTCTACATAATTTTTTGTGCCTTAATTTGTCACATTTAATAAAAAAAAACAAATATCAATCTAATCGTCAAATTTAATATACCCAGCAAAGTTATCGTCAGATTTTGGGCTAGTATGAGAGGAACATCAAGCTGAACCATCGGTATAAAAGCGAACACACTCGTGTATTTCGAAATAGCGATATTTCGAAATTGCATTTTAGATAATTCGCTACAAGCTTGTGTCACTTTAAAATCGTCAGAGCTTTCAATGGGAGCATTTTTATAAATGAATTTTAAAACATATCTCCAAAATATCTAATGCGCCCGAATTTATTTTTTTCGATTAATTCCCCTTACATTTTTGAAAACCTGTAGAAGCTTGTCCCACCGCTGCAAGTGGATACGTTATATAACTTTTATTCATTCTATTACCGAATCTTTCAAATGCAATAGGTCCTCATGACACTTGAGTAAATCCACATTTAGCATCATGGGCCCCCCTGCTATAGAAAATGTTATGGTTATCTATTTTGTACTTGAATATAGTGTAAAACTAGTCGACATAATAACGATAGTGTAGATATCGAAAATTTTAAATGTTATGTAATATAAAATAATTTAAAATGATACTAACGACATTTTACTAACCGTATATTTAAAGTTTAATACCAACATTAAATCTACAACAAATACACTAAGGTATGGCCTAAATATCCATTAAAGGTTACTAATGATTATGCCACTTTTATTTATTTGCAAAAAAGTGTTCTAGTAAAGTCTTATTTTCTTAGTATATACAGTGACTGTGGTCTCCACTCTAGCACATGTCGGCTCCATGATCATCAGGGCTCGTGGAGACATGACCGGCCGACTTCTTCTTCAGTGCACTGATTCTCAGTACGATGTCAGTTACTCTAGTTCTCTGTCGAATAGTTTCGTTTCGAATTCTATCGACTAGAGGAACACCCAGCATCACACGCTCCATCGCTCGCTGAGCGACTTTAGTTCAACGGTGAGTGTCTACGTCTCGGCTCGGCAGATTACCTATTCAATTTTCAGTCAATTACTATGTTATCACATTACAGTTAACATTGGATGTTTTATACTTTACTACGATAAATCCTTTTGAATTAAAAGTTTATACCTAATAATATTATAATAATTTGGGAAATAAGTTTAGTCTAGTCTATGGAGGTGAAATTAAGAATCACTCAGTTTAGAAATAGCACTTTTATTGAAATAAAAATAAGGCTCTCCTTCTATATTTACAACTATGTATATATACATTTATTTATGTCATATAAGATAATCCTAATGTAAATGTTTTTTTGGGCCACCGGAAAATCAGAAAACGGTCATTGTCAGCATACGGCTGATACCGAGGTCGTCGTGTTTTCTTAAAAGATTTTAGTAAAATAACAAGAAGAAATTTTATCGTTGTAACTTAGAGAAATAGATGTCAATACTACATTACAAAACGTATACATTGACATAATACACGCTGCACAACGGGATATGCAAAAAAGTGGTTAGTTTCTTATCTCAACAAAGGACATGGGCCTAAATCAGGGGCACTAAGAATAAATTGGATGAATACAGATTTTGGATGTTTTAGCCACATTTAAGCTATTTATAAAAAAAAGTAAATAATACAATTTAATTTCAAGTATGTAGTACCCATATCAGTACAGTACAATAAACAAGCTAATAAAGTGCTTGTTAGGTACATTCGTTTACATAAGTTAAAAGTTTTCCACTATTGGCATGTGAAATATATTGTACACAATTTACAAATTAGTGTTTTGTTTAAATATAAACTTTGTACAAAAAGACTTTGAAAAAATACAACTCCCGCATTAGTAATATATCCGTGTCGCGGGGGACTTTACAAACATACATGAAACGGACACAAGGAATACCCAGACTCAGAAGAATAATATGTCGATCACACAAAGTGTTGTGCTATGTGGGGATCGAACCCTCAGTGCAGTAAAAAGCGGTGAGGTGACCGCTTGAACCACCACTAAGCCACTGTTGTTGTACAAAAATAACTGCACTCTGTAACTGATCTTAAAGACAAAAGAGCTGTGAAAGTTCTGAGCGGCTACCAGTGAACCCCTTGAGTTTGGGTAAAATTTATGATATTCTGAAGATAGTCATATAATAGAGCCAGGAAACGACGATTCGTCGACGAGTGTGTTATACTGCAGCCAGTGAGGCTTCTAATGTAACTCATACCCATCACTTTATTTTTATTACATCCGTCTGTTCCTAATTACAGCAATGTTCTTGTTATTTAAATTAACTTCGAGTTTTACGACAATTTTATAATCGAAACTGATAAAAAGTTAATGCTCCACCTCTAAGTAAGTAAGCAGTACTCGGACGGGAGACAGGACTAAGACTGCGGTATGTATCAATATCCAGCGGTTGGAGAGGTCATCAGGACAAGTACAGCACGCACTGTATATATACTGTCTGATGACAAACAGTCCAAAAATCCCTTAGTCGCCTTTTACGACACGAACGGCAAGAGATGGGTTCCACACGGCAACATAGTTATATTAATTGTACCAGAAAATATAATCTCAAAAATGGTAATATGCACGAGAGACATGGATGTATTTATGTTTTATCGATAGCTAACTATTTACAAACCGGTAACAACACTTCGTCAATAGAATTTATCAACACGACACTCGGATCGGTTGCTCGACCAATCCGAATATTGTACGAATATGAAAGCGAGCGGCCTGTGTTGGTAAACTAATCTAAAACAATACAACTGTTATTTTCATATATTTTAAGTAAAAAATAAAAATTTGATTAAAATGACCTACATATTATAAAAGGTAACGCCATCTTTTTGTAAAATTTGACGTGACAGATCTCTTTTTGAAGCAAAAGCAGCGCAACTAGCGAAATGTTTTACGATGATTTGTTTGCGAGTTATTACGAAAGATTTACTTTACTTTATTTACAAAAGAAATACTTGTCATACTATAATTAATTCACTTTAATTTAGGTACCTTATTTGATATTAAATACATTGACATTAACATTTTACACACACAATACTTGTTTAAATTAAAATCACTACAACAGAAAGTTATGGTGATTTTAATTTAAACAAGTATGGCTTATGTTTAAAGAATAATTGCAACATGACGAGTGTTGTTAAATAACTTGAACGTTCCGTTACAGCCTATATCTAGTCAGTTTTATTTTATATTTTACTATATTTAATTTTGGACGAACAACAAGCTTGTTAATATGTTAGCATTGCTATACTATAAACAAATTCCCAGAAATTATGTTTGCATTTTTTTTAACAATTATCTGCGTAATACCGAATAATAATTTTAATTTTGCGAAAACGCAATTGAGAACAGACTGTAAGTACATATCAATACTTGAAACTAGTTTCAACTGAGTAAAACTTAAAACACGTTCTTTAGTAAGATGGATGCTTAAGTTTTGATCTGCACTTAAAACTAGTATCAGGCAAACAGAGTTCAACCGATACTTGGAACGTCTTTTAAAATACGAGCCTTAGTCTAGTGAGCGGTCGCGCCGCAACTAGTTTTATTGTACGCGTATGCCCGTGTGGACTTATCTTTTAGCAGAGGGGAACGCCTGCGTACGGCTACTCCCTACCCTCATAACCCTAAATCATGTGCACCATGAAACGCTACCACCTGACCAAGCGCTATTTTTGAGATAAGTTATGTAGTAAAACCAGGCACTTATTCTTAAAATCGTCGGGTAAGTTTTATTTACGAAGATAAATGCAGCAAAAAAAATGAAAACATATTCTATTTCTATTATTTCTATTCAAAACACATCTATTTAAGGATACAATGTTCAGATATTTACTCATTTGATTTATTTAATTTGTTTATGAAGGTGCGTGTCGTAACGGATTAAAAATATAGAGTGTCACTACAATTATTCCAAAACCATAGTAGGCCAAAACCTCCTTTCTAAGGAGAGGTCTATGTCCAGCAGTGGACTAGTATAGGCTGTTGATGATGACTACAATTATTCGTCGAGTTGGTGTCGTAAAGGCCTACTAGGTTAGCAAACTATGCAGGCCAACATCACTGCAAAGAGAAGGAATACTTGAAACAATCCCCAGGCTAACCCGTCTGGCCAGCGTGGGTATAATGGGCCAAAACCTCCTTCCTAAGGAGAGGCCTATGTCCAGCCATAGGCTATTAAAGGCTGTTTATGACGATAATGATTTATTTAAAGGCCACGTTGGTCAAGCCAAGATCCTCGTAAATAAATATGACCATATTGATAATATAGTATTTAATTCATTAATATTCTTTTCATTTAAACAGACAATAAAGTTTTAAGCACGTAATGTGTATAACGTTTATTATTTAAATAAAAGAATTTTAAATTTCAATTGGTTTCCTCAAGTTACGATCAGCATTGTTGTTACTGTTAGGATTCTTTGTCTTGATTATCGCTTTGAGGCGTCTGTAGCCCTCTTCTAAACTCCTCTTTTTGGCATACGCGCTGGATGAAAAGACCAACACTAACATTAAGATTGTGATGAAAAGCCTTCCAAGATTCATGATGATTGGACCTGTAAAATATAGAAATTTCCTAGCATATGTACAGATTAGAAATGTTTTTTTTAGAATATTATGCATGACATTTTCATGCATAATATTCTCATCTCCATTAGATGTAAATGACGAGCAGAGAATATCGCCAGAAAAGAAGTAGCAGTGAACTGACAAATGATCAAGGAGAGTTAAACAGTAAACTCATGCCACCGATTCTGAGGTTCTTAATAAATTAAGAAAAAAACTCGATACTGATGATGATTGTATATAAAACTAAGAATTAAATAATATAATATTAAATCTACTAAATATCCCTACTACATCTCTAGTCTAGAAGCTGACTTTGAGAACATTTTATGGTTAGAAACGTAACTATCGGTTTTTAGTCCAGTGAATTAACCTAAACATGTAAATTTGTAAGAAGGGACATAACTGAATGGTTTTTAAGTCAACACTGCACTCCACAATCCGCTTGCTACTTAAAGGGACCTGCATAAAAGTGGTACAATTTCTTATTTACATCTCAGTTAAAAACAGGGAACAGGAAATATAGATTTGTGATGACACGACTGTATTTGCTTCTCACAGTTTACGTACTTCCAATTATTGTCGTATACGAATGAAACTTTGAACTGACCTTGAAACTAATCATATGGACCCAGGAGTTGGACAGTAAAACTCGTCAGGGGCTATTAGTAAACGTTTCTATTTGATGATTCCAACAGATTGGGCTTAGTGACGATGATTATGTGATGGAGTCAGGAGATAGATAGTAGTATGTGTAAGTAATATATGTAATTAATAATAATAATAATAATAATATATAATTCACTTACCGCAGTTGCGTACTGTTAGAGAAAATACTGTACAAGTTGTGTGTCGTCCTGGAATCAGCGAGGCTTATAAATGTAACTCATGCCCATCATGTCGTTTTATTCCATCCGTTTGCTGTTAATTGTAACAATTTTATTGTTATTTTAATCACGTTGGAGTTGTGTAATCGCTTAAAATAGAAAGCTGATAAAATAAAAATGGAATGTTCTAGGTCTAAAAGAAAATAACGTCTTTACGATGAGAAGGGTACACAAGATACACCGAACTGACAGTAACTAGTACTAATTCACGCAAATAAAATTCTCGTCACCATTAATATATATAATAAACAAAACCTAACAGTATATGTCGCCACCTATTTACCACATAACCCTAACCCCTCGGCAACGCCCACTCTTTACAGATGGAAACATCGCGTATAGCATTTTTATACTCATACTCACTCTTTTTTTGTTTTTTTTTTTTGATTTATAATATTAGTGTGGATATATCAGGGTGTCCGTCCAAATTCAACGTCAAATAGTGAAAAAGTGGTACGTGAGCGCCTTTACCTCCCCGGTAAAAATATTGAAAACTAGATTTTTTTATAATTTTTAACATTTCACTGAAAATCGGTGAAAACTGACACCTTTAACCACTTTTTTCAGTGCTCTGAGGGCGAGTGTGCATGAATAGGTATTTTAGTTTCTGTATCGGTAGCGTGAATAATCCCTCTGTTGATTACAATTATGAGTAAAACCAGGGATGTTAGAATATCTCGAATAAAAAACATATTTCATGTGATTATTAATTAAAAATTCTAAGAAAATATGAGTCAACAAAGTTTTAGACACATCATTATTTTAAAAAATGTATCAAAACCATAGAAGACCTTGTTTTTTGGAAGTTGGCGCATGTTACCATGATTATAAAACAGGGACATGAGCCTAAAACAGGGGACATGAGCCTAAAACAGGGGACACTAAGAATAAATTGGATGAATACAGATTTTGGATGTTTTAGCCACATTTAAGCTATTTAAAAAAAAAAGTAAATAATACAATTTAATTTCAAGTATTTAGTACCCATATCAGTACAGTACAATAAACAAGCTAATAAAATGCTTGTTAGGTACATTCGTTTACATAAGTTAAAAGTTTCCCACTATTGGCAAGTGAAATATATTGTACACAATTTATAAATTAGTGTTTTGTTTAAATATAAACTTTGTACAAAAAGACTTTCAAAAAATACAACTCCCGCATTAGGAATATATCCGTGTCGCGGGGGACTTTACAAACATACATGAAACGGACACAAGGAATACCCAGACTCAGAAGAATAATATGTCGATCACACAAAGTGTTGTGCCATGTGGGGATCGAACCCACAGTGCTGTAACTAACCATTGAACCACCACTAAGCCACTGTTGTTGTACAAAAATAACTGCACTCTGTAACTGATCTTAAAGACAAAAGAGCTGTGAAAATTCTGAGCGGCTACCAGTGAACCCCTTGAGTTTGGGTAAAATTTATGATATTCGGAAGATAGTCATATAATAGAGCCAGGAAACGACGACTCGTCGACGAGTGTGTTATACTGCAGCCAGTGAGGCTTCTAATGTAACTCATACCCATCACTTTATTTTTATTACATCCGTCTGTTCCTAATTACAGCAATGTTCTTATTTAAATTAACTTCGAGTTTTACGACAATTTTATAATCGAAACTGATAAAAGGGAATGCTCCACCTCTAAGTAAGTAAGCAGTACTCGGACGGACTAAGACTGCGGTATGTATCAATATCCAGCGGTTGGAGAGGTCATCAGGACAAGTACAGCACGCACTGTATATATACTGTCTGATGACAAACAGTCCAAAAATCCCTTAGTCGCCTTTTACGACACCCACGGCAAGAGATGGGTTCCACACGGCAACATAGTTATATTAATTGTACCAGAAAATATAATCTCAAAAATGGTAATATGCACGAGAGACATGGATGTATTTATGTTTTATCGATAGCTAACTATTTACAAACCGGTAACAACACTTCGTCAATAGAATTTATCAACACGACACTCGGATCGGTTGCTCGACCAATCCGAATATTGTACGAATATGAAAGCGAGCGGCCTGTGTTGGTAAACTAATCTAAAACAATACAACTGTTATTTTCATATATTTTAATTTAAAAAAATGAGTAAAAAATAATAATTTGATTAAAATGACCTACATATTATAAAATGTAACGCCATCTTTTTGTAAAATTTGACGTGACAGATCTCTTTTTGAAGCCAAAGCACCGCAACTAGCGAAATGTTTTACGATGATTTGTTTGCGAGTTATTACGAAATATTTACTTTACTTTATTACGAAATATTTACTTTACTTTATTACAAAAGAATTACTTGTCATACTATAATCAATTCACTTTAATTTAGGTACCTTATTTGATATTAAATACACTGACATTAACATTTTACACACACAATACTTGTTTAAATTAAAATCACTACAACAGAAAGTTATGGTGATTTTAATTTAAACAAGTATGGCTTATGTTTAAAGAATAATTGCAACATGACGAGTGTTGTTAAATAACTTGAACGTTCCGTTACAGCCTATATCTAGTCAGTTTTATTTTAAATTTTACTATATTTAATTTTGGACGAACAACAAGCTTGTTAATATGTTAGCATTGCTATACTATAAACAAATTCCCAGAAATTATGTTTGCATTTTTTTTAACAATTATCTGCGTAATACCGAATAATAATTTTAATTTTGCGAAAACGCAATTGAGAACAGACTGTAAGTACATATCAATACTTGAAACTAGTTTCAACTGAGTAAAACTTAAAACACGTTCTTTAGTAAGATGGATGCTTAAGTTTTGATCTGCACTTAAAACTAGTATCAGGCAAACAGAGTTCAACCGATACTTGGAACGTCTTTTAAAATACGAGCCTTAGTCTAGTGAGCGGTCGCGCCGCAACTAGTTTTATTGTACGCGTATGCCCGTGTGGACTTATCTTTTAGCAGAGGGGAACGCCTGCGTACGGCCAATCCCTACCCTCATAACCCTAAATCATGTGCACCATGAAACGCTACCACCTGACCAAGCGCTATTTTTGAGATAAGTTATGTAGTAAAACCAGGCACTTATTCTTAAAATCGTCGGGTAAGTTTTATTTACGAAGATAAATGCAGCAAAAAAAATGAAAACATATTCTATTTCTATTATTTCTATTCAAAACACATCTATTTAAGGATACAATGTTCAGATATTTACTCATTTGATTTATTTAATTTGTTTATGAAGGTGCGTGTCGTAACGGATTAAAAATATAGAGTGTCACTACAATTATTCCAAAACCATAGTAGGCCAAAACCTCCTTTCTAAGGAGAGGTCTATGTCCAGCAGTGGACTAGTATAGGCTGTTGATGATGACTACAATTATTCGTCGAGTTGGTGTCGTAAAGGCCTACTAGGTTAGCAAACTATGCAGGCCAACATCACTGCAAAGAGAAGGAATACTTGAAACAATCCCCAGGCTAACCCGTCTGGCCAGCGTGGGTATAATGGGCCAAAACCTCCTTCCTAAGGAGAGGCCTATGTCCAGCCATAGGCTATTAAAGGCTGTTTATGACGATAATGATTTATTTAAAGGCCACGTTGGTCAAGCCAAGATCCTCGTAAATAAATATGACCATATTGATAATATAGTATTTAATTCATTAATATTCTTTTCATTTAAACAGACAATAAAGTTTTAAGCACGTAATGTGTATAACGTTTATTATTTAAATAAAAGAATTTTAAATTTCAATTGGTTTCCTCAAGTTACGATCAGCATTGTTGTTACTGTTAGGATTCTTTGTCTTGATTATCGCTTTGAGGCGTCTGTAGCCCTCTTCTAAACTCCTCTTTTTGGCATACGCGCTGGATGAAAAGACCAACACTAACATTAAGATTGTGATGAAAAGCCTTCCAAGATTCATGATGATTGGACCTGTAAAATATAGAAATTTCCTAGCATATGTACAGATTAGAAATGTTTTTTTTAGAATATTATGCATGACATTTTCATGCATAATATTCTCATCTCCATTAGATGTAAATGACGAGCAGAGAATATCGCCAGAAAAGAAGTAGCAGTGAACTGACAAATGATCAAGGAGAGTTAAAGAGTAAACTCATGCCACCGATTCTGAGGTTCTTAATAAATTAAGAAAAAAACTCGATACTGATGATGATTGTATATAAAACTAAGAATTAAATAATATAATATTAAATCTACTAAATATCCCTACTACATCTCTAGTCTAGAAGCTGACTTTGAGAACATTTTATGGTTAGAAACGTAACTATCGGTTTTTAGTCCAGTGAATTAACCTAAACATGTAAATTTGTAAGAAGGGACATAACTGAATGGTTTTTAAGTCAACACTGCACTCCACAATCCGCTTGCTACTTAAAGGGACCTGCATAAAAGTGGTACAATTTCTTATTTACATCTCAGTTAAAAACAGGGAACAGGAAATATAGATTTGTGATGACACGACTGTATTTGCTTCTCACAGTTTACGTACTTCCAATTATTGTCGTATACGAATGAAACTTTGAACTGACCTTGAAACTAATCGTATGGACCCAGGAGTTGGACAGTAAAACTCGTCAGGGGCTATTAGTAAACGTTTCTATTTGATGATTCCAACAGATTGGGCTTAGTGACGATGATTATGTGATGGAGTCAGGAGATAGATAGTATGTGTAAGTAATATATGTAATTAATAATAATAATAATATATATAATTCACTTACCGCAGTTGCGTACTGTTAGAGAAAATACTGTACAAGTTGTGTGTCGTCCTGGAGTCAGCGAGGCTTATAAATGTAACTCATGCCCATCATGTCGTTTTATTTCATCCGTTTGCTGTTAATTGTAACAATTTTATTGTTATTTTAATCACGTTGGAGTTGTGTAATCGCTTAAAATAGAAAGCTGATAAAATAAAACTGGAATGCTCTAGGTCTAAAAGAAAATAACGTCTTTACGATGAGAAGGCTACACAAGATACACCGAACTGACAGTAACTGATACTAGTTCACGCAAATAAAATTCTCGTCACCATTAATATATCGACGGTTAACGGCCAAAAAGGGATAACCGCCATTCTACAAACTTTACAGGAGAGAGGTTTAAAGTTTAAAAAAATTCATAGAAAAAAAAAAATTGGGTCCACAGGCCTAAATTTATAACTAAATAGCTTTTGAAAGGTTCTCCATAAACTGGCATAATTAATTTTGTTGAATTCCATCTCGAAGTATCATTTACGGTCGCTTACCCTGAAATGACCCAGATTTTACAAACAGCAAAAACGTTCCAAGTGAATATAACATGGGATTAACTTCCAGCCTAGACGATGCAAATGCATTTCAGTATTTTTTAAAAACAAGAAAAAAGGGCATATTGTAATATTTCTTGTTTATCAGGCGAGGCCAATATAGCTTGAGTGGTTATTGGTTAGTAACAGATAGAGAAGAAAATTGTAATAAGTGATGAAATATCATAATAATTGTTCAGCAGTTAAAGATTACTGATGATTTTTGCACTATTACTGAGGATTATAATAAAAACAAGGTGCTTTGAGACAAATAAACTTGTAATATTAATAAGTAATAATAAGTATTAAAAATTATAAATCTAATACAATCATAAAAAAAGTTTTTAACAATCCTTGTACAACATTTTTGTTCTGAGCTACAAATAGTAACTGCTTAGGCTTATGAATCAGTCTGGGCAACTTAATGAAGTACACTTAATTATTATTAATAATAATAATAGTATTTATTTATTTATGTAATAATTCAATCATACATTAATTGAGATCAAAAAGTATTAAAATAATCATGACTACCCACGATAAGGTCTTGCCTAATGTGGGGACCACTGAAACACACTTGTGTTTCAGTGGTCCCCACATTAGGCAAGCCTGTATCGTCCCTGACATTGGCAGGTATTTACTTGAATAGATAACTTAGCTAAAACGTACGTACTAAAAACAATAAATGCAAAACATTTACTCAGAACAAAAAAATACAAAATTATTTACGACATAACTTTTACTCAAAAAATACAAAAAAAAAATTTAAGACATTAGACATAACTTATTATAAATAATATAAAAACCAAGTACCTATTTAATTAATATCATCATCTTCGACATCTGATTCAGGGAGTGTATCTCGAATGCTACTAGCACTTTTAAGGCTCTTATACTCCCCTTGAAATATTTGTGGGATCACATTATCGGTACAGAGTTTCAGTAAGTCATCAAGTTTTATTTTCGAAATGGGTAACTGAGATTTATAACAAGCTGGGACATTACCTATGGACTTTGATTGTACTATGATTTGATGTGACTCAGCGTTTTCGTTCATGGAAGTTTTGTAATTAATTAAACAGTCGTTCTTTTTAAATTTTACTATGCGCATTTTGCTGATTATGCCAGTGAGATTTCCCTTAAAATATTTTTCACTGATTGAATCCCATTTGTAAAAATCATTGAATTGCAGTGAGTCGACAATGTAAGGTTCTGGATTTTGTCTCGCTGTAGTAAAGACTGTAAACCACTGAGAAGGTGCGTGAATGGTAGTTTTTTTTAAATTTTTCTCAATAACGGCATGGACGGAGTCTACTGGCATATAAGTATGCCCTGTTAGCAAGAAGTTTATTTGGATTACATTGATATTATTGCACGTTTGCAAAGTTGCGTGTAACATTGCCATGATTATCCGGTTTCTATTTTGACCGGGACAACAATCACAGTATAGTAATAAATTCTTTACTGTACCACGTTTATCTACAATTTTAATGTACTTATTGAGTATTGTTGCAATTTCGTTGGCACCTCGTTTACCGTTACTTTCGTCCCAATAAAAACAAAATACTTTTCGCGTGCCATTTTCATAAATACATAGATTATATACAGCTAGTTTACGACTATAAAATAATAACATGCTCTCTCCGTACGGAGTATTTAAAACTTTTTGTAGATCGAAACTAACACATAGGGTGGCAGGATCGTTTTTATTTATATTCTGATGTGCTTTAAATCTCTTATAACTATCTTCTTTTTCTCTTTCGTGTTCTTTCATTTCTTTTTGCATACTTGCATTGTCTTTATTTTGTTCGTATTTAAGGCACTTTAGGCATTTATCCTTCTTAGGAACGTGAAACCCGATATTAAATTTTTCATTAAATATAGTCCGAAAAATACGTTCACTTACAATATCAATTCCTCTCTCTATATAACTATTTTTATACATTTCATACAAATATGATATATTTTTTATGCAGCTAGGCAAGTAAACACGGGTAGAGTCCTTACGGCAATAGTGTGAGGGAACAGCTGGGAGTCCCTTGATGTAATTATGCACTAACACTATTGTACTTTCTTTAGTTTTGTTATGTGGTTCGCGTTTACCACGATTATCCTCTTTTGCCAGCCCAATTTCAGAGTTTTGTACAGTATATTGAATAAATTTCAGACCAACATCCAAAGTGGCTGCTAAAAACTGAAGACACACGAATCGCTTCCCCTCACCTTCTGTTATTGCATACTTGTAACTGTATGAGCGTTTCTCAGAATTACTTCTCTTCCGTTTTATAACTGACCTCTGAGTCATTGATACCAACCAGTCTTTGCGCCGTACGGTTGACAGGCTCCAAAAATATTCAAAAATACATTTTCGTCGCTCATCTGTGACCATTTCACAACCATTGCCACACTTCTTGCCTGTACAAGGGTTAGGTTTAATTTCTTTAGCAGGGACTTCAATGCCATTTCTTTTCACGTATGCTTGACCAGATTGCCTTAGAGTTCTTTGTACTTTCTTTTGATTTATGCGTCGTTTTTTTACTGCATTATCTCCTACCTTATTGATTTCATGTTCTAGCTCTACGTTGTTTTTGTTAGATTTTTTCCGCTTTTACTTATTAGTCATACCTGAGCCTACTTCAGAATCATCTGATTCTGAAGTAGGTTCATAAACATCTGAATCTGCTTCTCCTTCTCCGAAAATGGTTGTAAAGTCTTCTTCGTCGGATAAATAGTCAAAATATTGTTTTTTCATTGTATGACGCTTTTTACATGGTGGTGGGTTACTATCTATATTAGAAACAGGCACTGAGGTAACGCTAAAGCTGGTAGAGGGCAAAGGTTCTATATTGATGTTATTTGTTAAAGGCAAAGGTTCTGTCTCGATACAACTAGTTGAAGGCAAAGGTTTCATATCGATGTAGACGGTTGAAGAAAAAGTTTCAGTCTCGACAGAACCAGTTGAAGGCAAAGGTACTGGAACGATATAACTGGTAGATGGCATAGGTTCTGTCTCCATATAATTGGTAGAAAGCGAAGGTTCTATCTCGATATAACTAGTTGAAGGTAACGACAATTTTGATGTAGATTTTATAGATAGTGGTGGTACATTTATAATTTCATCGCTAATTATTTTTATTTTCTCGGTAAATTGTTTTTCAGGCTTTGGTGAAACAGCTACGTTTACAGAGATAATATTGCTGATGTCATCATTTTTATCTAAAAGTAAATAATTTTTTGATTGATTTAAATCATCTAAGTTAGACGATGAAGTAGGTTCAGAGTTTTCATTAACATCAAAATCTTTGACATCATTTGAGACTTTAGAAAATGAATTCTGTTTTTACCTATTTATGTCCTCGTCTGGTTGAACATCAAAATTGATTTTTCTTCGAATTTTCTGAAGCTTTATTTGTTGTGAATTGCGTAATGCCTGCCCGATAATATCACATGCTCGTTGTTTCTGAGCCATATCTTCCCCTAAAATATAAAAAAACAAGTATTAGCATTAGTATAAGCAAGCATTAAAAAGAGTTTTAGGTAAGTAACTAGAACAAAGAATGTTATCGGTACCGACCAGAAACATTGTTTATCTGGATAGGTTAGTAGGTAGGTAGGTAGGTCGGTCGAGACGCAGGTCGATAGGTAGGTAGGTAGGCAAGCAGACAGGCAGGTAGATAGATAGATAGATAGGTAGGTGGGTTGAAAGGCAGGTAGGTAATTAGGTAGCTAGATAGGTACCTAGTAGCCAGGTAGGTTAATATAGCTATCGAGATAAATTATTATTATGCACTCATAACTAATGTTTCTTCACCTCAAACAGTAGGCAGTCCTCAAACACAGAGTTAAGCTATTAATGGTATAGAAAATTAATTTCCTTGACCGCCATAGTCAAGCAATAAGTCACTGGTAACAATAGCAACTATGCGAGTAAACCATACAACCATTAGCCCACATCATGCATAATATGCCAGATGAAAACGACAAAAATGAAAGCGCTTGAATATAAACACCTGTGGATGCACTACAGGATGAAATAACAATTTCAACACCCTTCGGGGCACAGTCGGCGAACAACCGACTTGCGAAACGTGAGGTTATGGATTCGATACCCACCTTGAACAAATGTTCTGTGTTTATTATGATTTTTGATGTTTGTTATGAATTATTTGTTCTGTGTGATGATAGTTTTTCTATCAATTATGTATGTACCTACCTATTAACAAAAAAAGTAGTAACGACTTAATAGTTATTATTAGAAATATTGTATTTTTAATTAATATAGATAAGTACAATTATTATTATTTATCTAGTTTGTATAGTACAAGTTCCTGCTTCGTTTGAGATTAGGTACTTAACTTCTTTGAAAATAACACAATATTTCTAATAATAACTACCCATAACACGTATTTTTTTTTACATCGCATTCACAAGTTCAGTAAGTATTTCATTTTCTGTGTAATATAATTTTAAAGCATTCATAATTAAAAAAGAAATAAACTTACCGTTTACGAAACTGCTCGCTAAAAACACTCGCACGCACGCGTGGCGGTTGGGCAACGTATCACAGAACACTGAATGATCGCACGGACTGGCAACGGGGATAACTATTATAGTGTAACCGAGAGATTTGTGTTTGCGCGCACAAGATAAGTGCCAAATATTCGAAAACCTATTGGCGTAAGTGGCTATTAAAATTTTATTATATTTATCTAACCGACAGACATGGGTATTTTTTTGGGAGGGAAAATTAAGATAAGCGCCATTCAGAATGTTTGTAATGATTTAGTAAAATAGTACTAACCGCCACAACAATAGGTAATGGAAAATATGTGTTTTTTTGGATTAATGAACTTTTTTGCAATAAATATTTCTAGCTAAATTCGGTCAACGAACAAATATCAATGTTTTAATGAAAGCCTAAAGAGCATAATGGTCAATTGCGAAAATATAATATATGACCAACTACCATTGTAAAAAAAAACATCAATAAACCTGTCGTTTAGGACTTTAAATTTAATGAAATTTTTCAATTTTTCAATTGCCTAACCTCCAAAAAGTTTGTCCCAGGACCATGAAACTGGTACCAATCAACGCAGAAAAATCTGCTGATTTCAAATATGTATATAACTCATTTCAGCTAAAAGTGTCGCTTATCCCTTTTTGGCCGTTAACCGTCGATATATAATAAACAAAACCTAACAGTATAGATGTCGCCACCTATTTACCACATAACCCTAACCCCTCGGCAACGCCCACTCTTTAGAGATGGAAACATCGCGTATAGCATTTTTATACTCATACTCACTCTTTATAATATTAGTGTGGATATATCAGGGTGTCCGTCCAAATTCAACGTCTAATAGTGAGAAAGTGGTACGTGAGCGCCTTTACCTCCCCGGTAAAAATATTGAAAACTAGATTTTTTTATAATTTTTAACATTTCACTGAAAATCGGTGAAAACTGACACCTTTAACCACTTTTTTTCAGTTTTCTGAGGGCGAGTGTGCATGAATAGGTATTTTATTTTCTGTATCGGTAGCGTGAATAATCCCTCTGTTGATTACAATTATAAGTAAAACCAGGGATGTTAGAATATCTCGAATAAAAAACATATTTCATGTGATTATTAATTAAAAATTCTAAGAAAATATGAGTCAACAAAGTTTTAGACACATCATTATTTTAAAAAATGTATCAAAACCATAAAGACCTTGTGTTTTGGAAGTTGGCGCATGTTACCATGATTATAAAACTGTAAAAAACTCCTTATAGTGTAAAACCTAGGGTGGATTTCAGTTACAGTTAATGAAATTTAATAATAGAAAGTGGGATGTTGAGCTTATAATTTCGAATTTTATTTTATTTTTTTAATTTCGAATTACTCAAATGTCAATAAGCCCTTTTTTTTTTTTACGTGTGAAAATCCCCTCGGACCGTCATCCCACCGGGGTTTGCGGCGGGGTGGTGTGTCGGACTCGGACCGACTAAAACCACACGGTGTGCCACTCTGCGCCTGTAATAGGAGGGATCCGGGAACAGCTGTTATTAAGACATCCGGACCCCTCCTAGCGCCTGCCCGCAACGGCGCGGGCACCACCTTCGGTAAACTCTCTATTTAGGCGACGTCCGGCACACGCGGACGCCGCCTAAATGCCTAAAAGGGTCCCGTGCTGCCGCCCTGCCCACTCGGCGATGACCAGCTGGAGAGCCTCCAGGGCGGCGAAGCCAGTGCATGGAGTCTCCAGCCGGAACGACCATCTCACCATGGTGGCTCGGCGAGCGGCTTCGCGCCACTCGCGCATGTCTTCGGGCGGAGGGCGAGATCCGCTCTCCGCCAGGAAGTCAGCCACTCGCCGATAGACTTCGGCGAGACTTGCATACCTACCTAACCTAACCTCTCGGGCTAGCTGCTTACGTTGTACCCGCCTCGGGTGGTGCAACAACCCTTGTCCACTTATTCGCGTAACCGGCTGCTGCTGCCACGCGTCACCTACAGGGTACGCCCAAGCACTGCCGCACTTACTTTGCAACATACTCATACTGCAGAAATGTTTTGGCTAGTTAATGTATGGCTGGCCGCGTGCCTGTCACCAACCCTCCTTGGAAATGTTATCGTTTATACGATAGGGAAGGGAAAAAAAGGAGACATTGGGGTGGGAGGATTGGATGAGAGAGGAAAATTAGGCCTCACCCTAATTTTCCTTTCTCATCCAATCCGTGTATCGCAGTACGCGGACGGGAGACAAGACTAAGACTGCGATATGTATCAATATCCAGCGGTTGGAGAGGCCACCAGGACAAGTACAGCAATGCGCACGCCGCCTCTCCCAAAGCGGTGCGGTAACCGCGTATGGTTTTAACCGTCAATATCCTCTTTTGTGCCCTTTTCTGATCGGACTTGAAACAAACCCTCGGACCGTCACCCCGCCGGGGCTCTCGTTCGGCGGGGCGGTGTGTCGGACTCGAACCGACTAAAACCACACGGTGTGCCCTCTTTGCGCTTGCAGTTTAGGAGGGGTCCAGGTAGTTATCGCCTTCTGGACCCCTCCCAGCGCCGGCCCGCTCCTGATGCGGGCTCCGTCTCAGTGGACCCTCTCTTTAGGCGACATCCCGTCCACCCGCGGCCACACTCAGGGCGGCATGAGGCGCAGGTAAGCGCGCCTCCGCCGCCCGGTTCGCCGGCGGCGGATCAGGTCCGAGTGGAGGTCGTCCTCCCGGGCCTTCTCCGCCGCCTCCTTCTGCGAGATTACCTCCTCGCAGAAGGTTGCGACCGCGGTAAAACAACTGTCGCTACCGGCCATGGAGCGAATTATGGCCGGTAGCGAGAGATCTGCTCCGATGACTGCAGTGAGGGCCCGGCGCTGCGTCGCCCATGCGGGGCAAACCGCCAGCGTGTGCTTGGCCGAATCCTCACTGCAATCTCAGTGGTGGCAGGCGGGACTCGATTCCCTCCTAGCGACCGAGTACAGGTACCTTCCGAAGCAACCGTGCCCGGAAAGCACCTGCGTCAGCCGGAAGGAAAGGGTCCCGTGCTGCCGCCCTGCCCACTCAGCGATGACCGGCTGGAGCGCCTCCACGGCGGCGAAGCCAGCGCGTGGAGTCTCCAGCCGGAGCGACCATCTGACCATGGTGGCTCGGCGAGCGACTTCGCGCCACTCGCGCACGTCTTCGGGCGGAGGGCGAAATCCGTTCTCCGCCCGGAAGTCAGCCACGCGCCGATAAACTTCGGCGAGCACTTCCGCCTCCAAATCCCACGGGGGTGTTCCGGCCAAGTCGCAAGCCGCCTCGGTATACACCGTGCGGAGGATATTGGCGGTCAGAGCCATATGCGGATATGGCTCTGACCGCCAATATCCTCTGGGGGCGCCAGAGGCGCGCCCTATTCGGGGCAGTCAGAGCCCCCACCCACACCGGTGCACCATACAGCGCCATACCGTCTAGGACCAGACCCAGACACCTCATCTGGGCCCGGACCGGTACGAGGACCGAGCCAACCTCGATTGAGGCGCCGGCGGATGGACCACGACGGGGCCCATGAAATAATAGGGCCTCCGTCTTATCCAGGGCCACCCGCAAACCCAACGCCTCAATGCGCCCGACCACCAGGGAAACTCCCGTGGCGGCCAGGCGCGCTGCTTCCTGGAAGTTAGCCCCCCGGGCCGTGACTAAAGTGTCATCCGCGTAGCAGATGACACCCAGCCCGGGGGGGAGACGCCCTCGTAGGGCCCAGTCGTACCCGATGTTCCACAGGAGAGGTCCTAGGACAGACCTCTGCGGAACACCGCACGACATGGCCCTGCGTCTCAAGACGCCATCTCGGTCCTCGTACATGACGGTTCGCTCCTCAAGATAGTCTGCCACCAGCCGCCTCAGGTACTCCGGCACTCCGTGGTAGCGGAGCGCTTCCCTGATGCAGCTGAATGGCAGACTATTGAAGGTATTGGCAATGTCCAAGGACACCGCCAACA